TCCTCCCCTTTGCCCTTTTCGTTTGTTGGCTCGCAGCTACTACTGCTAGCGGCCATTGGTGGCAATGCTGCTGCGAGCGCAGTGCCACCACCAAAACCGCAACCCCGAACACCCACGTTCACCTTCGCAACGACCATAGCCACGACCAGCAAACCTACCGCCACCAATGGCGCGCCAACTCACGCCTACAAGGCGCGACGCCACCCGCTCCAGCTGCGCCGCGGCCTGTGGAAGTGTCACAGCACGGATCACGACCATGACCGCTGCCAAGCACGGACTCCACTCCAGGGCTCTCGTGCGGCTCACAATGCCACCGCCGCAGAAACCAGAGACTATGGCCACTACCACTACCATCGCAGCAGCCCCTTCCACTGCCGCTGCCCTTTGTCACTATCAACCTTTATGTCATCACCCCTGCCGCTGCCGCGGCCACGACCATACTGGCTCGCGCGGCACAGCTCGAACAACTCGTAGAGCCAACGACACAAACAACACAGTGCAACCAACGCGGCAACACGAAGAGACGACACCAGCATGAGGGCAACACTCCCAGCGACGGTATTGCTCCGAATCATGTTGGCGGTGACAAGCATTCGCCACGTGGCACGGTAATGCCTGTTGGGGCGAACACGCAGGCGACGGCGGGCTTTCGAATCTTTCCTTCAGGGCGATCACGTTGTGCCGCCGTGCGGCATTGTGATTATTTTTCTGGCGACCATCTTGGCGACCACATTGGGTGGTATTTTTTTTTTTTGGCGACCATTTTGGCGACCATATGGGTTACCATATCGATTTTTGGCGACCATTTGGGCGACCATATGGGTTGCCATATCGGTTTTTGGCGACCATTCGGGCGACCATGGGGGCGACCATTCGGCGACCACTTTGATGCCCCCCCCGCTGTTGGGTACTAGGGACGTCACGGACCTACGATCCCGCGCGCCGCGAGCCCGACGTCCTCCGCCGGTTCCTAGCGCTCACGGGGAAACACCTAGACTGCGACGACTATTTCGAACTGGCCCTCACCACGATGAGCCGCCGTTCCCTAATGGAGTGCGTTCGGGGCGTCATTCGCTTGTCCCCGGACAGCGCTGCGGGGGCGGCGCGCTATCGACTGCAATAAGCCTGGCAACGGCAGGGCCCAGCCCTACATTGCACCCGCGCACGTCATCGTCGCTCTCATGCGTGCTCGCGCCGGGTACGAGAGGACGTCGGTCTACGTTCCCGTGGGCGCGGTAGCTCCCCGGCGCCCCCATCTTCGCTGGCCCGCTCCACTCTAGGCGCGGAGCGCCTACCGCGGCCCCGAGAGCCAGCCTTGCGCGCCGCCCCCCGCGCCGGGAAGTCCTCGCCGCCTTGCGGCTGTGCTTTCTTGCGCCGGGCTTTCGAGCGCGGGCGGCGCGTGCGATTGGGCATGGGCTAAGTGTGAATGGAGTTCCTCAAGAGTTCAGCGATCACTTGCCACCCGCCCCCCCCGGCGCTTGGCGCGCGACCGCCCCCTCGCGCCCCCCGGGCAAGGTGGCTTAATTATCTCCACTCTTGGCCCAGCGTGCCTACCGCAGCCCTAGGAGCCAACCTGGCCCGCTCCTCTCCACGCCGGGAAGTCCTCGCCGACTTGTGGCCACGCCCTCTTTCACCGGGCTTTGGTTGCATGGGTGGCGCGTGCAACTGGTTTTGGGAAGTGGCACGCGCCGCGGAGTCAACAGCCCGCCGCGGCGAGCTGCCCCCACCCCCATTTCTTGTTTCTCTTCCAAGGCTGCGACGGTTCGTCGCTCTCCTCCCCCTGCGGCCCCCGCATCCGCTTGCCAGCGCCGCGGAGACAAGTAGCTCGACGACATGTGCAAGTCGGGCGAGCAGCGCAATAAGGCCCAACACCGCGGGCCCAAGCGCCGCGGGGCTGAGCAGCGCGTCGCCGACCAGCACCGCCGAGACAAGCGCCGCGGCAACGAGCAACAATGACACTAGTAGCGCGACGTTGGTTGAAGAGCACCACGGGCTCCAGCACAACGGAGTCAAGGGGCGCGTCGCTGACCAGCACCACCGCGACAAGCAGCGCGGCGACGATCACCAGAGAGTCGCGCAGCACGACGTTGCTGAGCACACCAGGGTCCAACGGGATCGAGCAGCACGTCGCTAACCAGCACTTCTGGGACAAGCGGCGCGGCTACGTGGCCTGGCACTCACCTCAGCTACCCGGGGCGCTCCGGTGCGCGAGGTACATTGTCGGTGAGAGCGCGTCGCTATCCACGGGAGCTTAGTTGGCACAGTCAGGGTTGACGTAGCCAGGTTTGGCACAGTCATGGTTGGCAATGTCAGCGCGGTCGGAAATGGCGCAGCCACGATTGGAATAGTCAGCAGCAACTGCTCGAGTAAATGTTCTACCGTTCTCCGCCTCTCCTCTCGCGCTGCAAGCCTGGCGCGCACTTTCCCCCCCCCTCCTGCGTCCTAATGCTGCAGCGGTTAGCTGCCGCACCGGGGTGCCTACCGTGCTTGGCGCGCACTTCCCCCCCTCCCCTTCACCGGTTTTTTGTCCCACGCGGCTATGGTTGCCGCCAATACCGCTGTTTGATGGTGCTCCGACAGCCTGAATTCCATGCAAGAATCACATTGGGAATGGGCGGTCAGTGGCCCCTGGCCTGCTCCTGGCTGGTCTCGGCCTCCGCTGGTGACCGAAAAGGGTTCAGTGGGGTCTCGCCACGCTGCCGACCTCTACGGTGCTGGACTTCGGCATGCGTGGCTCTGTGCGCCCGTCGGCTGCTCTCTCCTGCAAGGACTCCGCTTTCGACAAGTGCCACTGCTGTACAAACAAGAGTTACTGCCATTTGCAGTCCTAAATGTGACGAGGTTGTCCCTCTTCACTCGTGCGCTGACACGATGTTTCGACATTTGCGTTCGTCCACTTCACGGATGTCATCTGGGGTTACTTGTTGGTATCGTTCGTCTCTGACGTTGCCGTCTGACTGACTCACACCGAGTGGTCGACCTCTACGTGATTTGGGTCACGCCGCCGCGCCATTTTGGCTGTATCTATTCGCTGGTAGCCACCGGGATTTCCGGACGCCACCAAGAATCCGTCGACTGGTTCTTTTCGCTTATCTGAGTTGCCGCACGTTTGCTGTGCTTGTTTTGCTTTTTCCGTTTCCTGCTTAGTCGTGGCCGGGCTAGAGACCCGTTCCACGAGGTCGTTGTCCAAAACATGTCCCCACCAACCCATTCAGAAACCCTGTCTTTCAAAGTTGACGGGGAAAAGACGAAAAGACACATCTAGGGAAACAAAGCGAACACAGGGATAGCCTTGGAAGGCCTCTTCGGGCCATCCCTGGATACCGCGTGGGGGCGAGGGGAAGAGGAGGAGGAACATGAGGACGAGGAGGGGGAGGACGAGGACGCGGATGAGGACGAAGACGAGGACGACGATGACTAGTATGAGGACAACGCGGACCAGGACTCATGGAACCATCTAGAATAATTATTGCAACTGCTGCTTCTGCTGCTGGTGCTCTCTGGGAGTTTTGGGGGCCCTCCTGGAACCCTCTTGGTAACCATGGAAGGCCTCTTGGGATAAGCTTGGGGATTCCCCAACTCCGCTCCCCCCATCAGGCGCCGGCGAACCGTTTCTCGGGGCTCTCTTGGAGCGTTTTTGGGGGTTCTCGGAACGGTATTGGGCCCGTTTGGAGCATCTTGGGAACAAGCTTGAGCCAGCTTGGGTTATCTGAGCCATCTTGCAGGTCATCTTGGGCTCTCTGAGACCACTCGGGGGCCTCTTTGGGGCCTCTCGGGTGCCTCGTGGGGCACTCTTTGGGACCCTCTTGGAGCCCTCTTGGGGCTCTCTTGGGACTCTCTTGGGAGCCCTGGAGCGCCTCTTGGGGCTATCTTCGAGGCTATCGATCAAAGGAAGGATTCTCCCGATCGAGGCCCCCCCCCTCGGGGCCGCGATCCTTGTGAGAGGTGTCAAAAATTGACCCTCCCAGGGGCCGATTTTGGACGTTCCAACGGATCGCGGCCCCTGCCGTCCAGGTCCAGGGGAAAGGGTCGGGGGAGGGGTCAAGACTCCCTCCCCGCCCGCAAGCCGCCTCGTTCACTCCCACCCGCCCTCCCAACACATACGTAGCACCCGAGTTTGGCCCGAGCCGCAGCATATTAATCAGTCGTCTTTGGATGGGCAGCTACTGGGGGCGAATCCGCCGCCGCCGCCGCCTCCGCCGCCGCCGCCGCCAGCCGCCGCCGCCGCGCCGCCGCCGCCGCCGCCGGTGTCCGCTGCCGCCGCCGCGCCGCCCGCCGCCGCCGCCGCCGCCGCCGCCGCCGCCGCCGCCGCCGCCGCCGAATCGTCGCCGCCGCAGCCGCTGCCGCCGCAGCCGCTGCCGCCACCGCCGCCGCCGCCACCGCCGCTGCCGCCGCCGCCGCCGCCGCCACCGCCGCAGCCGCCGCCCCCGCTGCCCCCGCCGCAGGCGCCGCCGCCGCCAAGTGTACTCTGTATGGTTTTTTGACGGGGATGGTGGGGGGAGGCCGCATCGGGTTCGCTGCGCATGCTCCGAATTTGGAGGCAGAGTGTGTTTTGCATTTTTACAAAAGGATGGTGGGGGGGTGCCCGCATTGTTCCTGGTTGGCTCCCAATTGTCTGGGGGAGGGGGTGTATGTTAATAGGGAATTGTGGTAAACCCCTCCCCGAAGGGGAAGAAGGGTTTTTGGAAGAAGACAGGAAGTCATCGTTAGACCACCTGCGCTCAGAAGGCTGGTGGGATTTATTATCCAGGGCCCAGCGCCGATCCAAGAAGTCCGCACGGAGTTCCGAAGGTTTATTCGGCCACGCGCAGAGGGGGTATGGGGCAGGGGGAAGGATTCTTAGAAGCATCCCTGCTCCTTAGAAGGCGCTGGCTTGATCTATAAATGTGAGGCGGGCACCTTCTGATTTGCAGCCTCCATCTAAGAAGCCTTCTCCCTCCCCCTACCCCCCTGTGCGCGCCGCCAACGTATGTCTATGCAGCTTTTGTTGTTTCTCCAAGGGCGTCGCCCGCAGCCTCGTGGCCAACGGGGCCATCGTCACCAAGCGGGACGGCAGCTCGGAGTGGGGACCAATGTCATGATGTAGTTCCTTAGAGGTTAGATTCAGCATTATCGCTGGTATATATGTGGCCCAGTCTGGCATAACCCCGTCCAATCCAGCTTAATCCCGCTTCATCCCTCTCAGTCTCTAGATTGATTTGGCCACTCAGGCTTCATGGCTTTGAATTTGACGCGATACAGTTAAGAC